CTTTAAGATAGATTTTGGTTGTTGTTTAGAGTTTCTCGAAAACTAGTTTTCCAGATGACCGGTCTTTGAAGGCCTAGCAGCAGCATTCATGGTGATATTCGGAATCAGCATCGTCGACTACCTATAATCCACTCGGTTTCGTTGAAAAAGCGAGTTATCAGTTGGGGTACTTCCCTCGTAAGATGTCTTTGGAGACATTCAAATTCTGAAAGCAGAGATGAGATGATCGCACCCCTCTTAAAACACTATAGGCAATTTCTGTGTCTGGAAAACTGTCAAACGAGCAAAAAGTAGGATGAAACTAGGACCAGAAAAAATCTGGGACGACTATGCACGATTCTTGCAGAAACTTACCGCGAATATGCAGGATGCTTGTAGAGCCGGTCTGCATAATAGGATTTGCGACGCGACTGATCGCGACTTTGCTAGCTTGTGTCGCGATTTTAAAGACAAGGCAAGACTCGCGCCGCGAAAACGCAATTTTCTTATGTAACTAGCAACATCTTGTCGCGAGAATCACTATAGCAAGACTTCATTGCGATCGCTAAAAGTGCCTCTTATTTCACGAGTCCTATAGCGATCGCGTAGCGCGTTCGTTTTTCTAGCACGAGTCGTACCGCGACTTTCGCACAAAAATCAACCTGGGAAGTATTGTGTGGACACTTACAAATATTAAAAGTTTTGAAATATAAATTTTCATCAAAGAAAAAAGGCGCATATCTGCAATATATATAGGTTAGAGAGGAACTACAATTCTTCTGTTCAGTAACTGGATAGCGTGGATAAGGCTCTGCATATTTTATATGCATCGAGTGCATTGGACTAGCGTTGTGTCGGATGTTTTTCAGACTTTTCAGATTTTTTATGAACGTTGATGTTAGTATAGTGTAGAACTCTGGACTCTTCGATACTTATACCCACATTCTTAAAATAGCGGATTCATCTCATTGTAACGATGCATGGAACCCATCAATGAATCATCTGTTTACGATACTTCTTCAACTTGACGAAGACTGAGAAGAGTTTTGCCTTGCAAAAGAGAGAGTTGCCGAAGAAGAAAGAGTTTGCCTTGCAAACTTTAAAAAGTTAACCCTGCAGATATTTATTCAGTGGGAACATTGTCATCATTTTGGTCATCTTCCAGTCGGATAGAACATGAGATTTTTCTTCTTTTTATAAATAAAGCTTAGATAAAAACATGAGATTCTTGTGGAATATAATTAGATAAAGAATGTCTTCTAGTTGCTCGTTGTTGAGTATTAACTGGAAAAGATTCGTTCGAGATTGGTGATTCAGGTTTGAATTGTACTGTTTGTTGTTCATTGTCATCACTTTTTATCAAACTCAGACTGATATTAGTTCCACTCAAACGTTTTTCATTAACCATTTCGGCTATTTTTTCCATTATTTCTTCTGATGGATCATCGTTTGCCTGGTCATTAGCCATATATGTCATTGAGAAACAAGCGCTTAAAGTTTTCTTAATAAAACCTTTCTCATTCGAATTTGAAAGCATTTCTTCTGAGTCGTCTTTGACTTCATGTGGGTTTGCATCAAAGCCATCATTCTCCTTGTTACTACTATATTTCCTAGGTTTGTCCTCTTTTCTTGCACGTGCATCTGGATCAGTTGCATCAACATTATTTTTCAATTGATTATGCCATTCTGATTCTAAATCTAAATGAGCTTTGTCATCGTCATCCGAATAATCGTCAAACTCAATCTCATCAGTGTTCTCATTAATATATAATTTTCTTGTATATACACGTTGATATCGATCAACCAATACCGAGGCAAGCATTCCAACTGTTGCCGTACCAGAGAAAGTGCATAGGCACGCTAATACACGACCGACAGCCGTTATTGGATACATATCACCATATCTAAATAAAAAAATATGCATAATAATTATACAGAACATCGAGAAAACACATACCCCGTTGATGTTATTGTAATTATACCCCAATACGTTGCTTTTGGTATACTATCAAATACTAAGCCATTCGTTGAATTTTCAACTAAATAAACAGCCGCTCCAAACAGAAATGATAGTAGTGTCAATATCGATATCATGATAAGAAAATCGGGCAATGATTCTCTGGTAGCTGCTGCAAGAACTCTCAATGTTTTGAAAGTTCGAAATACACGATATATTTTGAAGACACGTGTAAAACGTAACATTCTCAATAGTCTTAAGCCAATATATGAGGAAGTATCAAAATCATTTTGTCTACCGTCTAAAGTTATTCCTAATGTAATGTAATACGGTATAATAGCTACCAGATCAATCCAATTGAGAATACTTTTAATAAAATCACAATAAGATGGTGTACTAATAAGGCGAACTAAAAATTCTAACGTGAAAAACAACACCGTAATTGTTTGAATAATAAAAAATGGTGAATAAAATAATGCAGCACATATCGGATACGATATTTCTGTTAGATTAAATTGTAATGATTTATTCTTCAAATTTTCATATTCTTCACTGCAAATATTGTCGTATAAATTATTATATTCTGGTAATGTTTCTATAGCAAGTGCAATACACGACAACAATATCATCATCATTGAGACAAGATTAATAATTTTTGCCAAAAAAGAATATTCTGGATACTCCATATTTGCCCACATTTGTCGGCGTAAACGATTTCGAGGTAATCGAATTTTTTTTGCTTCTTTAATATTCTCATCATTTCGTATTTGTTGTAATGCTTGAAAACCCAATTCAAAAAATGTTACTTCCTCTAAAAATGTGTCTAATGGAACGGCCTGCGGTCGTCGGAGACGTCCTTGTGACTGATAATAATACAATATTGAATGAAATGATTCCTGATGACGATCAAAAAAATATTCATCATGAACTTTGTCGTAATACGGTTTCAGTCTTTTGCGATTACCCAATAGTGTATGTGGATATAACTCCAATGTTGATTTGTGTGTCTCGAAATGTCCGCCTGACACATTGATATGAATACGATTTTCTGCTAATTTCCCATTTGCTGTCATTCTTGCTTCTTGTTTTAATTTAGTCAAATTTGGAAGATTAAGAATCTCGCTAAAATGTCGGACAATTTGTATTAATATGTTTCTTATACTAGAAGAAGCTAAGAGTATGCTTGTTTTCCTGAAAAGTAAGTTCTTTAACCGCATATATGTGCATTGTACCTGTTTTTCTAAACGAGAAGGACATGTTGTTCCGAAAAACTTTTTATTTCCATTAAGCATATGAAGTTTAAAATTTTGATTATATAATAACCGATAGCGTGAAATATTATTCAATTGTTTCGGACCGAAAGGCGACTGTAAGTTATTGACCCCAAAACGGGATATGTATGAGCTTGTAGAGAAAGACTTGGTCTATCCAGTAGTGTATATATTGTCGAAAAGTTTATCGAGTACTGAATAGAAGAGAAAAAAGGTTCGATAGTAAGAGATTAAGGTTTTTTCAGCGTTCAAAGTAACAAAGATTAAAAAGTTCGTATGTCCTCAACCAAAGGCCTTGGAGAGCTGTGAGAGATCATATTTTGTAGAGAACAGTTTACTCTATAATATGGACCTGTAACAGTTCCAGCTCACAAGTTCAGCTCATTTGAGCGAAAGAACTATTAAACAGTTCTTTTGAAAGGAGCTGATATGTTTGAACAGCTCTTTTGAAATTTTCTGAAATTTTTTCAACGACTACTGCTAAACCTTTCACGCTGAAGCAAGAGCTTGCTCAACTCGAAGCGCTGGAGAAGAACGGTCATACATTTGCATCATTCTGGAGAGAACATTCAACTTTACTTCCAATATTGAACCAGATGGCAGGTCGATTCGGTCCTATACCCGCAACCTCAGCCACAGTGAGAGCGCATTCTCAATCGCAGACTATGTTGCTCGAAAAACACGGTCTTCTCTCCCGGCTAAAAACTTGAAATATTCAATGTTCCAAAAAGATAAACTTTAATCTTTTCTTTAGTCTGCTTTTCTTACAAAGATCATACTTCTTTTATTTTACTTTTTAACCATACTT